TCTTCTCTGCTTGCCACACTATGGAAGTTCCTGTCATTTCTGCCCACAATTGCTTTGAGCTATGAAAAATTCTTCTATAGAAGTTCAGATTTAGGTATTACATTTTGCTGTCTTGTTCACAGACACTATTTTTATTTGATTTTTAAATAAAACCCCATGATGAGCAGTGCTGCACATTATTTTAGTTAAAGGTTAAATAGGCATATTTGACTAGGTGTTCACTTGAGGTTTTGTCAGCCTTGGTTACTGTGATTTATAAGAGATTGGTTGTGTGAGACCCAGCAATTGATTGATTAAAAGTAACATTTTGGGGATAAAACCATTTTGTCTGGCTCAGTCTTCTTGCTATGAAAAATAAATTTTTACAGTTTTACTTTATATTCTGATTATCCATTCTACAGTCTGAAAAATTACTTGTGAATGCTTACTCTTCATGTTTACCTGGCTCTTTGTATCATCTATTTTTTTTAATAGACAAGGATGTCTCTGGATAGTAATGCTAACAAATTGTGATTTCTTGTAATTTTGGTTTAACTTGGTTATGCCTAATATACTGTAATGTCCAATTTAATCTTTACCTGTGTTTGGAACAATTATAGTGTGTCTGTCGTCTTTTGAGTTCACACTGTGTCATCTTGCTTTGGTGCAACAATTGGGAAACTCCATTCTTGAACTGATTTATTTTAGTGAAAATTTGTAGGGAATTGATATCCTTGAGATTTCTGCCACACTACTGGGATAGATTTGGACTCCAGAGGTGTAGGGCAACTTTCTGTGTAGGAAAAGGTTACTGTTTAAGTCTGAATTTCTTACAAAATCAGGTGAGGGTAGATTACTTGCTTCACTGTATTTTTTTTTCTTGATTTTTAACATAAGAACTTAGGTTCTTAAGTGCTTATATACTACCTTTACTGTTCTCATATAATTAGTTTATGGCTCTCACTGTAGCCATAGCTAATTTTACTGTTTAAAATTGTACTTGTTATGAAGTTGAATGCTATAGAAACTATTTCATTTCTGCACACTATATATCTCTATATTCCACAGATCTAAAATGCCCTTTCTAGCTCACTTAATAAATATTCACCTCATATAGCATCTGCTTGCTTTCTTCCTCTACTGTGTGAGAGTAAAGCTTTTTTTTTTTTTTTTTCTAGGCTACAAGTTTTTGAATGTGACCAAATTAGTCATGAGAGACAATGTAATATATATGCCGGTGTTTGTGTACTTTTCTGTCTCGGTAACCAAGAGGCAGCCTATCCCTCTTGTATTTATTACAGGAGAAGCTTCTGCATATGGACAGTATGCAGAGTATTTGAACAGCTAGATTATTGTCTGCATGATTTATTTGCCCTCAGGCTTTGTTTAATTTGCCATGATAAAGCTAAAAACAGTTTCCAAGAATCACCTGGACATTTTATTCCTTCAGCAGCTTTCTCAGATTCTGAAAAGACTTCTAGGCCTTGTGGAAGGTGGCTGATGGGAAGCAAATCATGAATATGAATCAGCATCTCTCCACCCTTATATCCAAAATGCTGTTGCTAGGATCTTCTTCTTCGTTTGCTACTCTTATCACATCATCACCTTTTTGAAATTCACTCTCTGTTATCCTTTCTTTAATTACATTCAAATTCAAGCTGCTTGTGTCTCTCTGCAAGACCTTGATATAATCTTATTCTACCTTTGCATCTGCTCATGTGTTTTGCTGCCTTTGCTTCTGAATCTGAGTTCCAGTTTTCTCTGTTTCACTTCATTTTCATCCTAGATTGTCATCCACTCTGTGTATGTGGGGGGGGTTGCTAATGCTACTTTGTAACCGTGGATTAGGGTATGTTTTTTTCCCTTTCTACTAAATGTATATTTTTTGGTTTAAAAAAAAAAAAGTTGATTTCTGTCAGCTTGTTTTTATTCTCTCCCCACCACCACCCTGTTGTTATGGTCCATTGTAGAAATGAGCAGTTAAAACCAGAAGTGTGTTCTCAATTCATGAAGATGAAGTCTTTGTAAAGTTTCGTCTGGGTCCCCTGTTTATTTGAAATTTTAATGTTGTTAGCTTATTTTTAAATGACACTAAAAGCTAATAGAAAGATTGTTAAGATGTTTAGTTGATGATTAATTATACTTTATATTTGAACAGAAATAATTTTGGTTAAAAGAGATGATAAAGTGAGAAGTCCCTAAGTTCATAGAAATTTTTTTTTTCTAGGTTTTTTTTTTTTAATGTCTTCTAATGAGTGTGAAAATGGAAGGGAAAAGAAATGGATGCTCACTCATTAGCTTATGTTCCTCTAATGAGGGATGCCACAGATTAATACTAGAGAATGAATTCTTGTAACTGGAGGAACATGCAGAAAGTGTTTCCTAAGATGTTTCTTCTTTGGTCTGCCTGCTATATGAGTCCTGTAGCTCAAATATTTTGAGCTTCCAAGTTTGATTATTTCAACTGAGTTGAGGAGGAACATCTGGTGTATTTTTGTTTGGACATGTAACTTGTTCTTGTTTTCTCAGAGTGAGGCAGAAATTTAAAATGCCTCACAGATCTTTTGTATTTCTTGGAAATGCTTACAAGGAAGTATTACAAAAGTACTTAATCCAAAGTCATGAAACACAGTTTTATGTTTAATGTATTAAGACAGCTAATTAAATTAGACATTTTATGAAAATGACATTATATTTCATTTTAAGACAGTTGGATCAAATACAGAAATAAAAGGTTTTATAAGCACTTCAGTGAATAATTCTATGGAAGATCCCCCAAGACTACTGCTGATACAAAAAGAAAAGAAGTGTAGGAAATAATTGAATATACATTCTGTTTTTCTTTTTTGACTCTTAGTGATGCAAAAGATGCAGAGGATCAGATGTGGGGAAAAAAGTTGGTTGTGATATTTACAGCTGTAAAAGTAATTCTAGTTTGCTAAGTAAACCAGATCTGGCATTTTGTGAGAGAGCAAGGCCTGACAATTCTGTCCTTATTTTGAGTGATCTTGGCTACTATTATTCAGTAAATAAGTGAAAATTCAGCCCTTGTTTTCCTCTCCAAAGATTAGTACAAATCCCTTTCTTTTGAATCTTCAAAGTTTTTCTTTTATGTTACAGAGCAAGAGAAGCTTTTTCTTTTTTAATTTTTTGAAGCAAATTTCTCTCTTTCCCACTGTGGTGGCATCAAGAGGCTGGAGACTGTTAGTAGTAAAAGTTGGGGTGTTGTATCTTGAGACTGGGGGCAGCCCAGGCCAGATACACTCACACTCTTGCAGGCTTTAATTTAATTTAATACTTTACAAAGCATTAGATGGGAGCTTCTTTCCCACAATACTTGGAAGGTGTTTAAGGTACTGTGCTGAGGCTGTCCATAGACTTGGGAGTATGTAATTCTAAATACACTTGAATCGTATTTTCAGCTTTATTTTAGTTCTAAAGTGCTCTCTTACATGCTCTCTCAACTGAACTGACTTCTGATTGCAGAGTGGGACCTCTGGATTTTCTTTAAAAGCTTGATCTCTTCTTGGTCATTATGGAGCTTGAAATAGTAGATGACTCATCTGATACCTAGGTATAAGACAATATGCAGCAGAGACCTCTATATGGGTCTCCAGTCCAAACTTCTTTCTGAAAAAAGCTTTCTAGTTCCACTGGTGAAATGAATGCTGCTCAAAAATCCTGGTTTTGTGTAATGAGTATGTAAGAGACAGTGCCAGAAACTCTTAGGTGCCTAACTGAAGATGCTTAGAAATCCTTTGGAAAATTGTGATTAGTTTGTTATTAGCTAGAAAATTGACAGAATATTCAAACAAAGAAGCCTGACTGGCTGGTGCTGAAAGAGCTGGCCCACCTCCCCTGTGTTCTCAGCCATGTGCTCCCACAGGTGGCCCTGTGCTGGTGTCAGGGGTCATTTGGCACTGACAAGGAACTAAACCAAGAGAAAACAAATTCTGTTTAAAAAAGAGAGTGAGTCATATTCTGTTGGTGTAGCTCCTTGAATTAACTTACAGGGAAATAATGTTTTATCAGAGATGGGTAGATCTTTTGGCTCTGAGTCAGAAACATGAATGGTCCACTGCAGTCAGGAAGAGGAAGGAGGAAGTAAGTTCTCCTTACTTGGTCACAGTGACTGCTTAAGAAATTAGAGTTTTCTTCTATGATCTTGAATTAAAAATTCTGAATTCTTCCTGTGTTGGCCTGTATTACAACAAATAACATTATCTATTTGGGGATATGTCTTTAGTTTTTGCTGTTAAGGTCCCTAATAGCAGCTCATAGAAAGCTTACTTTAATTGTTCTTTACTGTTTTTTTTCAACTGGCTGATGTTCACGATACTGTGTTAGACAGGGTTTGTTCATAAATGTGCCCCCTGTGTTTCTGCTTTTCTGGATAACTTCTACGTTTTATATTAAAAGTTGAAACCTGCTGTCTTCCAGCATCATTTGCTTTCAGGAGTGTTGAGATATCCATTTAATGCTCTTGAATCATGATGAAAAAAAATCTTACCAAATGAAAATTTTTAGCTTATAGAATCTGTAGGTATTGATACTTCTTGATTTGTGCTATGAGTTTCATATATATTTATATATACGATCTATATATATGTAGTGCTGAATACAGAGCTTTGAACACCAGATGCAGGAATCTGTAGAAAAATAATCAGTACTTAATAATCTGGAGTAGTGGTTACCCCATGTAGCAGAGTGTTATGGATAATTAAGTTACTAATCATCATTTTGGGGTGTAGATAGAGGCTAAAATCAGCTGAAGTCTAGAGTAATTAGGTTGGGTTTTGTGTCTTCTGAAAGTCTGTATATGTTGCTCAGAGCCCAGTGAGGATTTGGAGACGGTATCTGTTTTTTCCACGTCATATCTACATAAGCAATCTTACTTGTAGTTTATGTGTATATTTGATATGTACAATGTTAGAAAAACTGCCTGTAAACAGTGAAGGGTTGACTGTTTTACATGGCTTTGACAACTTCAATAATTGTGTATTTTTGGTTTTACATTTTAGGAAATAAAATAATGCTAGTGAAGCAATCATTTCCCTGAAGTTCAAGTTTTCAGGCTCACTGCCATTATGGGTAAGTCTTGTGTGTAATGTGTACAAAAATTTAATCTGAATACTTTTAATTTCTATCGAAGACTAAAACCGTTAATGTAATATCATTCCTAGGAAATGTTTTTGGCTGTGTAGCTCAATGTAATGTCCACATGAAAGGCAGCTGCTTTTCTAGTATTCAAAATATTTCTGGGTTTTTTTTCCGTTGGAATATAGCACTTTTCCCTTACTATGTGGTAACTTAAAAATCCACGTATAGGAACTTGAGATTCATGGTATTAGGGTACTAAGCAATGTTTACTGTGCTCTAAGTATTAACGGCTATTGGGAAAAAAATCCCTGTGAAGTCTGTATTAAATAATTTAACTGTATTGTCTTATGTCATTGCAGTGCAAAGCCAGGACTGGGTAGATGGTCTAACTGTGTTTTTGTAAATACGTAGCACATTTATATTGGATGTTGATTTTTTTCAAGCTGTACATGCTTCTTAATGAGTAGACCATGTTGTTATTGTAATCACTTATCAGTGCTTACTCTCAGAAAAAATCCCAACAAACCAACTAACCAAAACACACACATTTTTGTATTGCTTTTGTTTATCTTTTATTGTTACACTATTTTTTTTCTTAAGCTCATGCTTAATAATAAAGTAGCTGAATCTAGGAGTGCAGCACTCTTTCGATTTCTAATACCAGCATTTTGTGTGAGAGAAATGATGAGTCATATTCGATATTCAGTAAATTTTAGATCTTTTCCACAATGCTTTGTTTTCCTTTGTATGATATATACTACCTAGTGGCCACTGGGAATTAAACCTTTTCCAAATAATTTCTAAAAGAGCAATTTTTTTTTTTTATCACTGAGCACTAGAATAGGCTATAACATGATAAAATAGCTTAACTTTCTTCATTGTGGCAAGTTTTGACATGTGTTTTAGTGTGAGAAAGGAATAACTGAGCTGCAGGAATGCCTTCAGTTCTGCCATTAAATATTGCTAGTAAAACTTGCTTTTATAGATTTGCATATCTTAGGAGAGCTATGAATAATAACAGCATGAGTGATGATCAGAGTTACTAATTTTCAGACGAGCTTTCTGATCTGTTAGGAATCAAATTAGAACACTGAAAATCCCACAATGTCCTGATATGACAAATATATTTGATTATATTTGAATAGAGTGTCAAGGAATTCTCATCATTGCTGAATACCTGGAATTCTTGCTTCCTGATTTTAATGCTGAGTTTTACTTGGATCCATGTTTGAGAGATACTGTCCTTTGTAAACTACAGCACTTAGCAATGAATTCTTCAACAGACATCCATTGTGAAGTAGTATGAAGGCTTGCAGTCAATACCTTTGTAGATAAATTTTGTTATCCAGTGTTTTAGATGCATGTTGAGTATAGTACTGTTGCTGTGGCAAGGAATTAATGTAAAATATTAGTGACAAATAAATTTCCCTTAGTGATGTATGTTCAGGCTTTTGAGGTCCTAAGTGTCTAAAGGAGCATCCCAGTGCCAGGGCAAACCTTGTCTAGCATGGCCTGAGGCCATCACAGCTGCAGCAAATGATCAGGATTTAGGATTCTGTGTGAACTTGAAATTTAAGGTGCGTAGCACTCCTGACCCTAAATTGTCCCCTAGGTTCAGTGCTTCTGTTTCTCCTTGTGAATTATTCCTGTCAGCCCTAAAAATACCCTACATCTGCAGTCCTGGAAAAGTTCTGTGGTGTTTTGTTTTTTGGGGGTTTTGTTCGGTTTTTTAAAACTACTGTGGGCTGTCAGTAGATGCTCAGACAGTGGAGGTGTTCCTCTGGGACCTTATATATGCTTCCTATGTGCATGACTGTACCTGTTCAGGACAGAGGAAAAATGATTCAAAAGTACTTGCTTTTCTTTTTCTTTATTTACAAACTGGGGGAAAAGTATGATTTCTCTTAACATCTCATCCATGGACATATTTGAAACAAAGTAGATAAACCTTTTTCTCCCCCCACCTTTCTCTTATTAATACAGCCTGTGGTTCTGTAGTTGTCAATCTTTGTTATGACTTCAGTCTTTTAAAACTGCCATTTAAGTGTGTTTACTGATTAAGCTGTTTATTTCCTTAGCACTGTTAATGATAAATAAAATAAAAACCTTTGCAACATGGCAGTAATTCTTTTTTAATTTGGCAATTAAATATTGAAGTGTAATTTGGACTTTTAGATTTTAGAATAATGCCTGCCTAATTGTGAAATGAGATAGCAATGCACTTCATATGTAACAGTCATTTACACTTATCTGGTATTTTTCTCTGAGCAGATGAACAGCAAGCTTTGAATTCAATCATGCAGGATTTGGCTGTGCTTCATAAGGCCAGTCGTCCTGTATTGCCCCAGCAAGAAACAGGAAAACCAAAGTCATCTTCACCTAAAAAACAGGTAATCTTTAATATCCTTACTAACCTATTGAACACAGAATGTCCTGCTGTGACTTCTATAATTATTTTTCTTGCCAGACCAGTGAGCATACCAGAATGAGCTATTAGTCTCCTACATGTGCTGCCATTTTCTTTGTTCATGTTCTTAAATTAGCAGCAAAATGAAATGGTGGTATTTCAGACCAGATCATACTGTATGCATACAGTGTATGACTGATCCTGATAAATTGAAGATTATAGTGATATTTTGACACTGTATGTGGATTTAAAAAATAATATTATTATTTATTTGGTATTAGACTTTTAAAAGTCAGTATGTGTTAGTATCTCTTATTTGAAATGCGTATTTAGAATGAATTTCATAGGTATATTAGATTGCCCACTTGTCAGCTGTATCACACTATAGAATGTCAGCATACAGCAGCAAAATCATACTTAAGCTCCTTTACTGCACGTTTAGCCTCAATTTTTTGTTATTTCATATGCTGGAAATGTGAGTTCTTTTCAGCTGTATTTTTATTCTGCGGATACTGAACACAGATGGAAAAGTAGTAGATACTTACTTGGTAGGCTTGAACTACTGTATAGTGAGATGAGGAGAGGATATAGATTTTTACCCAAATTGTTTAATAGCCCTGTTGTGTTTGTATACAGTTTATCAAATAAAATGTATGTTTATTTGATTGGATTCTTAATTGAGGGTCCAATATTTCACGAAACTTCCGTTTGTGCAGTCTTATTTTAATCTGCTAAAGGTCAAAGTATTTTAATATATTTGGCTTTTAAACTGTCAAAAAACAATGGCTACATGTTTTACTGAACTCTTTCATTCTGTGCTTTAAAAGCTGTATGTAACACGGGTGCTTTGCTACTGTCGTGTCTCACATCTGAGCTGTTGTGACTTTAGACATTGTAGTGATGGCATGTATGATCCAAAATTACTTGTATATAATATGTTTAGGAAGTTAGAAGAAAAATAGTTGAGCTGTTTCTGAGTTTGAATGTGGTAGTGGTAAGGGGTGAATACATCTTTGTCATTCTGTTTAAATTTGTGCATTTTGAAAGTAATTGCTTGTGAATCAAGTAATTATTTTGGAAGATATAGCATTGTTATTTGGATAAAATTTCTGGTTGAAGGCATTATGTTTTTTCCTGCAATAGCTGCTAATACAATTTGGTTCTTAAAACTGTGGCTTTGCAACACAATTTTATGTCCATATAACTGCAGATATTTACAGGTATCTTTGTTGTTGGGAAATGGATTGCATGAATGCTGGCTTAATTACATGTGTGGGTTTCTATGGTAATCCTTATGAAACAAGATATGTTTCTTAAGCCTGGAACACTTGGCTCCAAAGTATACTTAAAAACCTGTTATGATAGCTAAATCTACTTGCCTGTTCATGGTAGAGAATTCTTTGGTAATTAGTCCCATGCTGAATTTGAAATAATGAATCTGCTGTAATATTAAAATATATTGATAGAAAATAATGTATTTACTTACAGAAGCATTAGTTGTGCTTCAGAATAATTTTTTTATATTTTTTACACACTTTAAGCCTCTATCAGATACCTCAGTTGAAGCAGCTTGTTAAAAGTAGATTTGGTGTGTTGGAAAGGACAGAAAATTCATATGGACTACTTAAGGATTTTACTTCCGGTGTAAAACTGTTGAATGGGATTTCATGGCATTCCTTAAAGGAGGTAGTAACAAACTAATAGTGGTTCCTTTTATCTCTTTTCTTACAGAATGATGTTAGAGTCAAATTTGAACATCGAGGTGAAAAAAGGTAAGGTGGGAACACAGGAACCAGTCTTGTCTTTTATTTATAGAATTTTGTTAGGCTCCAATTATAAAGTTTCAAACTGTTCAAAGTGTTTCTGTGTGTATTTGGTTTGAGCTTTAATTTTGATATGAACCAATTTAAGGAGAATGAATCTGTTTAAAATGTGGGCTCTGAGTATACATAAATGCAGAAGTATCTTACTGTAGCTACATCCTGTGTAATCATTATCTCATGTGTTTACCCTTCAGATAGATGTTTGTAGCCTAGAACAATTACTTAGATCATTAGCATAGATCTCAAACATGAGTAGACCAGCAAATATTTTTTTTTGCTGCATCATGTGTGTAATAAATGCATGATAATATATTCTTACTGTAACAGCCAGAGGAAGAAGCCTGGATCTTAAGGCGCAATATTGGATTGTACTTTGGAGGAACCAATCTGAGAACTGTAATAGGAAAATGTTTTAGCCTTCATAATTAGATTGTTTTCATTAATGATTTTGACTAATAAGTTAAAATTTATTTTCATTTTGTGTAAGGGAGATGAATTATGTACATGCTTAAAGTATACAAATATCTGTCTCTGTATATCTCTGTTCTGATGGCTGCTGAAAAGCTTTTACAGAAGTCAATCTACAACTCCATGCAGAACTTTTGTGGACAATTCATTTTGTCTGTCTCTTTTTGAAATCATAAACCTACAGAGAAATGGTTATAGAATAAGATTTAAAAAAAAAAAAAAAAAAAATCCTGGTTACACTATTTATCAATAGAAATGGTAAATGCCTTAAGTAAAGATTGCTTCAGAATGAAACCTATGCCACTTACGGGCAGTCCTAAGGGTGATGTGAGATAGATCAGTATGTATCCATGCTGTTTACAGTATGTGCCCTCTCTACATTAAATAACAGTAAGTTCCCTTGGTAATAACATTCTTCAGCTTCTTTCTGTCGCTTTTCTGAACACCACATGTAACAGTGCATTGGTAAAGGATGAGTGCTATAAGTAATTTTGATGAAATAAGTCTTTTCAAAACCTTTGAAACTGAGGACTCTTCTACCTAGTAATTTCTTGTGAAGTAAGTGGAAGCATGAATTTAAAACAGAACTGTTTACTCACTCCAGTCTGCACAGACAGTGCATTTTTGCAGTTTATCTTAATTCGCTTTTACAGTGGATTTAAGTTAATCTGTATGAATACAAGCATAAAATAAGTGTGTGAAAAGATTCCTTTCCCAAGCTTATATGCTGATGGGCCTAGCTCTGTTTGGACTGTCCCAAGTAACTTGAGCCTGCTTGCCCAGGGGTACTGGGCAGCTCAGGCTCACTGCTCAGCATGAATTATAATACTTTTGTTGCCTGAGCATGTAGATCTAAAGATAAAATAATGAAATTATGCAAGAAAAATAAGTTATGCAACTCTCACTAGTTTTTAAAAAGGGAAGTGGAAAAGAGAAGTGATTCCAGAGTTTCTCAGTAGTCAGTGTGGCACTCTGTATCAAGGATCGTGCACTATGATGGGTTTAATTCAAGGTTTGCTGAACAAATTGTTAACTACAGTGAGCATTGGTGTTGGGGTTTTTTTTTTAAGATTTTATTTTTTCAAAATAATTTTTATTTGGAAGTGGCCTCACTTCTAGCCTTATTTCAGTGATAAATATTGTTCCCTAAACAGTGAAACCAACTGAAACACTGCAAAAAGGGATGTTTACCCTTTGCTAAATTTTTTGCTTCACAAAATTTGAGTGCTATTCCTTTTTTTTAGTGTACCTTACTAGCTTAGTCACTTCTAAAAACCTTTTTTGTTTAATGGTGTGTCTCGAATAATACGATAGTCTTCTATAGCAAAAGGTCAGTTACAGGCATTTTGGGCTATTTGGTTTGACAAGACATTGAGTTAAAAGAAAATCTGAGTTGTTGACCTGCAGCTACACCATTCTTACAGGAGCACGCTTGAAGCACAGTTAGTGATGGACTCAGCAGTTTGAGCGTGTAATCGTTATGATAAAGATGGTGGTATTTTGTTACCTTCCTCAGATAAGATAGTCCTTTGGATTTCCAAAAAAGTGAGGTATTTAGGAGTAATTCTGTTCTGATGCTTATGCTTATCAGCCTGTGGTACTCCACTGCTGTTTTCTGAAGTAGAAAATTTTAGAAGTTTCTAAAAATTTGCCTCTATAATGGAGGCATACAAAGCTTTAAGTTAAGAAAGAAGCCATACACAAGCAAGTAAAATAGTCATAATATGATTATCCCTTGTAACTTTTACACTGCTTTTCTGTCTTTTTTTTAATGACTCAAAATATGGAGGATAGTGAATAAAGCATAGCCTCTTATGCTGGTCTTAGTAATAAATTTAATTCTAAGATCATTCTTAATAATGAGTTGCCAGATTTTCATAAGTAATGGACAAAAATTCTTTATAATTTGAATTGTGTTTCAGAATCCTGCAATTACCAAGGCCTGTTAAACTTGAAGATCTTGCAGCTAAAGCTAAAGTTGCTTTTGGACAGACTATGGATTTACATTACAGCAATAATGAGGTAATATTCTGTGTTTTCTAAATTCTCAGTGACTTGTACGTTGATTACTTTAAGGCTGAAATTTGCTCATACAAGCAGTGAAAACTACTCTTGTGACAACAAAACCCTAGATTTCTAATGTGTGTGTTCTCGAGTATTTAAGGTTTGTCTAAATTAGGATAGATAGGAGATGCGTATGTTTTATGAGGAGAGTCATATCTTAGTGAATTATGTCTCAGACTTTAGTGGGAATGGGTAAATTGTCTTCCTGCACTGCCACAGTCCTGTTGTGTGACTTTGGGAAAGTCTTTACCTCTTTGAACTTTGTTGTGTTTGTAAATTTGAAATAACATTTACCCTTTCTTGTATACTTTTTTCCTTTAAGGATTAATCTTCTGGGTAATAGAATGCTGCATTTAGCAATTTTTGGATCGGAGAACTAGGCTTAATTGTTGCTCCTCTTAAAGTGGCTGGTTCACAAAGGATTTTTTGGGGGAATAGTGCTACTACTGTCAAGCCACTTAAGTTTGATCAATATTAGTTCTGCCTTTCCTTTAGAAGTAGAGATGGAATTATTAATAGAAGGTATATGTACAGATGCAGGATCCATTCTTAGGAGTTACTTCGGAGTTTTGCCTTGAGTCAGCAAAGTGCATGGAGGATTATTTGTAAGCTTTCTTGTGCACAAATTAATTCCTGTATCTAATCTGCATCTTTGCAGAAGAAAATGCCTGTAATTGCTGTTAGTGACTCACTACCTTACCAGGCACTTCTGTGAAACAGATCCTCAAAAGGAAGAATTCCAACTTTTGAGACTAGGAAGGTCAGAAGAAATGGCCATTCATGATGCTTTAGCCTCACCTCCTTCCTCTGATAGATTTTTAGGCATTTGAGCAGGTTTCCTACTTGTTGACTTCTGCACTAGTTGGCAAATCATCCTTTCAGAAATGTGATGGTATTAACCTGTCATTAGCATTAAGACTGCAACTTAAAATGAAGACTATGCTCATTTGCTATGAAGACCTTCCTCCCTCATTCTCACTTCTTTGCTGTATGAAAGTATTTCAACTGATGTTGTATTTGAGCATCGCTGGCTGAGACTATTTATAAGTAGAATAGATACTGCAGTATTCCTTTGTTATAAGCAGAGCTTGTAATTTACGCTGATGAAACATAAGCCCAATTCTGTTTGTTATAGAATTTAGATATAAAGTTCACTTTAATGGCATAACATTTTCTGTTTTAAAGATACATGTATGCCAAGTTAATTCTAATTAATTAGATCTAATTAATTAGATATAATTAATCAGATCTAATTAATTAGTAAGGTTCTAATGAGGACTGTAGTTGTTCCATGTGGATCAGATCATGCCTGATACACTTCCTTAGCAAATTCTGTTTTTTCAATGGAGAAAGTGATGCAGCTTGAAACAAATATAGTTATAATAGTGTGAGACACAAAAATGTGCTTTATTGTCTAAAAAATTTGGCTTATTTTTATTTATCTTAGACGCTGTTGCACATGTTTCTCTGAAATTTGTGGGATATTAATTTGTACATATGTAAAATGGTTGCTCCTTCATTGTGAAGACTTCTTCCACCATGCTGTACCTGTTGAAGGCATCTTAAGGAAGAGTTAAGATTGAATGTCAGACGATTTAGTGCTAACTTGAGGAATCAATTAATAAATTTTATTTTCAGGTTGTTTGGAATGGAACATAACATCAGTTTATTTGTTTCTCTGCACTTGACTTCTTCATATCTTTCTTCTGTCTTATTTAAGACTTTTTTTCCCCCCCTTTTTGTAGCTTGTAATTCCATTAACCACACAGGATGACCTGGACAAAGCTGTTGAACTGCTTGACCGTAGTGTTCATATGAAAAGTCTCAAGATATTGCTTGTAATACATGGAAATACACAGGTATGAGTTGACATGCTAAATGTCTTTTTCCTCAGTTTTCATATTAAAGCATAATTTGTAACTGCTTATCCAGTTCACTTTAAGCATCTATTAACAGTTTGTATTGACTTGGTTTTAGCTTTTTTCTGAATCCTGTTCCTCCATCTTTGTTTGCCTTCCCTACAATGGTAGAAAAGTGATTCTTTATGGAATGATGATGTGGTACAAATTTGAGAAGTGCATAGAATTTAAGTAACTGTAGTTATTTTAAACCATTCTTTAAGTCATATGTTGGTGAGACTCCTTTGTGACAAGTTAAATATTTATTGTAGCAAACAGTAGCAGTGGACTGTAGACTAAATACTGAGTAGTTTCAGTATTGTCTAACACATCACAGCCGTGATACTGATTTGTATACTAATACATATTGAAAATTAATTTTAAATATTAAGAATGAGCTAATAAAATAGATGAATTCTGTTATAAATTGGTAAGCTTCTTTTCAACTGATTGAAAAAAAGGAATGTTCTGCAAAAAACCTATAAAGTTTGTGAAGTATTCTCATTGTCAGGAATATAAAGTAGTAGCTGCAGTTTAATATGAATGCATTTTCAGTCACCCAGTGTAAATAATGTGGAACCCTTGCCCTCACTGGAAGATTTAGATAATACAGTGTTTGGTGTGACAGACCGAAAAAGGCGACTGTCTGTAATAGGTAAGCTACATATTTTAAAAGTTTTAATAGTAAAGCCTTTTCTTCTGTAATATTGTCTTCATCAAGATCTTGTTCTCAACACAGACTGTTTGAATTTCTCTTACTTGTCAATGACTGTAGAGTTTGCACTCGGGGGAGTGGATTTTGAATTTTAAGTCCTATATATATATATATATATATATTTAAGATACATTAAAATATATAATAAAGAAAATAAACCAAAAAAATCACAAATAAATAAATCTATATAGATTTATTTGTGGTAACTGATGGGTATCCTAAAATGTTGATGTTACTATTCCCCTTTATTTTCAGATACAGGAATGAGTTACTGAAAAATCTGTTTGCTTATATGGCAGTGTGTTCCCTTGCTCCATTTAGGCTACCGTATTTTTTTAACCTTAATATGCAAGCATATGTTTAAGATACTTATTTTGGCATGGATAAAACCTTTTTTCTTATTCATGTTTTATACTTTGATGTTAATTTCCAAATTTAATTATGAAACTGGACAGTTTAATGAATAATTTTTCAGACAATTTAATTTATTATGAACAGAGATATTCATGTTCTTTGGGACATAATACTCTACAAAGAAAAACTGAAATTCTCCAGAGTTGGAAAGGGTTAGTTGACATAGGTGGAAGGGTTTGGATTTTTAATTTGTTTCAAAAGAATAAATTTACCTAGCTAGATATGTGGGCAAACTATATTTCTGTTCATATAAAATTAAAATTCATTTTAATGCCATTGAGGCAACCCTGACACAGATTTTTCATAATTCCTGGATTAGAGATTTTTAAAATTCTGTATTTAAGTCTTGTATTGCATAGGCATTTGGGAAGTTTCTAAAGCAATAAGTGATTCAGGCAGGCTCAGGGCCTATAAAGCCCATGGATTCTGTGTTATCGAAGAGACTCTGACTAGCCCTTTTCCTTCAAAAGGTTCTAATACTCGTGATAGAAGTTCACCTCCCCCAGGATACATTCCAGATGAGCTGCATCAGGTAGCCCGAAATGGGTCCTTCACCAGTATCAACAGTGAGGGTGAATTCATTCCAGAAAGTATGGATCAGGTACCTGCGTGGTTTATTAAAATTAAAGTTTTTATTAGGTTGATTTATGAAATACTGTTGTTTAAGAAGGATATGGAATTGTTGGAAAGAACAGCCAAGAAAATTATGACAGCCGTAGAAAACGTGATCTGTGAGAGAAGGTTAAAATAACTGTGGTTGGTTTAGTCTTGCGGAACCTGTTTTTTCTCTCTAAGTCTATTTAAATATGTTGCTATAAGGAGAAGGATAATATTCTTAATTTCCATGATAGTTGAGTGAGGTGGTGATAGATATAAATTACAGCAAGAGATGTCTATATTAGAAAGCACAAACCGCTTTAATGAGAAGGATATGTAAGCAAGAACAGTTTTACAACTTGCCCAGGTAACTAAAGGAGGTTTTAAAGAAGAGTTTGGATCTATCAGAATTATTTGGACTCAGTTGATACCATGTTGGGGTAGAAGAGGAAAGGAGATGGCAATGAGTCTGGTATAAATAAGCTCTGAGATACTTTCCATGGTCACGTTTTTGTGTGAGAATGACAAATGTATGCTATTTTTTCTCATTATTCACCTGCATTGTTGATGCGGGCTAAATCCCGCTCTCTGAATATCAAAATTGTCCTTAAAAACAGCAGGAAAAGATGGCGTGATGTAATGGCTCCAGAATTGGCAGTGGAGAAAGATGTATTTTAAGGAGGAAAAAAAAATAATGCTACATACCTGAATCACCTCAAGTTCATCGAATCACAGAATGGTTTGGGTTGGAAGGGGGGGACCTTAAAGATCATCTCATTCCAGCCCCCCTGCCATGGACAGGGACACCTTCCACTAGAGCAGGTCACTCAAAGCCCCATCCAGTCTGGCCTTGAACACTACCAGGGAGGGGACAGCCACAGCTTCTCTGTCAACCTGTGCCAGTGTATCACCACCCTCACAGTAAAGAATTTCTTCCTTATGTCTAGTCTAAATCTGCCCTCTTTTAATTGAAAACCATTATCCCTTGTCCTGTCACTACACTCCCTGATAGAGTCCCTCCCCACCTTTTCTGTAGCCCCGTTTAAGTACTGGAAGGCTGCTATAAGGTCTCCCCAGAGCCTTCTCTTCTCCAGGCTGAGCAATCCCAACTCTCTCACCCTGTCCTCACAGGGGAGGTGCTCCAGCCCCCCTGATGAGCTTTGTGGCCTCCTCTGGTCCTGCTCAAGCAGGTCCTTGTCCTTCTGATGCTGGGGGGCCCAGAGCTGGACACAGTGCTCTAGATGGGGTCTCACGAGAGCAGAGTAGAAGGGGAGAATCACCACCCTCGACCTGCTGGTCACACTTTTCTTGGTGCACCCCAGGACACAGTTGGCTTTCTGGGCTGTGAGTGCACATTGCTGGTTCAGAGCCAGTTTTCCATCCACTAACACCCCCAAGTCGTCCTCCTCAGGGCTGCTCTCCATTCACTCATCACCTGGCCTGTATTTGTGCTTGGGATTGCCTTGACCCATGTGCAGGACCTTGCACTTGGCCTTGTTGCACTTCATGAGGTTTGCAGGGGCCCACCTCTCCAGCCTCTCCAGGTTCCTCTGGATGGCAGCCCTTTCTTCCAGTGTGTTGGCCGCACCACACAGCTTGGTGTCACTGGCAAACTTGCCAAGGGTGCAATCAATCCCTCTGTCCATGTTGCAACAACACAAGTTCTTGTTGATGTTGGCACTGTATTCAGAAATGGCAAGAGGCAATGGTTTTTAATGAGCTGATTAAATGAGACACAGATGATAGAATAAAAATAGAGGCAAAGAGATTGTGCAATTTGTTGCACAATTTTAATGACTGAGCTGGGAATAGAGGCTGAATCTCCTAATTTCCAGACCAGGGTGCTATTCATTATCATAGCCACATGGTCAGGTCCAGCCCAGGCCTGGATTCATTCAGTGGAATGATTGCTTTTGGCCTGGGCAAAGTCTTTTTTGGTCACTGGCTGCTCAGACAGACAGATGATCTCTGAGGCCCCTGATGTCCTTTCATCAGAGTATTCAAGAAACTTATAACCTGTCATGTACATGTTACTGTGTAAGCTGTCAGCAGGGTTTAAATACAGGAATTTTACTTTCATAGAAACAGGTTAGTTCAACCTAAACAGCCTCAGGGGCCAGGTTGGATGTTGGGAACCCACAATCTCTGTTTGCTTCTTTCCCCCTAAGTTGCCACATCACCTTGGCAAGTGTTCACCACTCTGCCTGTCATGGCCTGCCACACAAAGACAAGAAGGCAAATTAGGGGTGGAGGGCTTTACTCTGCTCTCCTGTTGATCTCCTTGAGCGCAGCTATTCACACTCTTGACAGCAGACCCCACACTTTGAAGTGGGCCATGGTCTGCCAGTTGGTCCATAGTGTATTAAGTTATAGAGGTAATTAATACAGCAGCAGATGGGCTATTTTCCCTTTCAGGACCCACTGTTCAGCATGAGAAAAGAGAATGTAGTGGCTGAACTTGTAGTAAATGTTGTCCTCCCCAATAGAGTTCAATTTAAGTGTCTGAGTTTGCAGAGTGCAAACTCACTTTCTGGATTTCTTTAATAAGTCCTTCACTGGTGCTCAGGACCTTTAAGATAGATCACACACTATAAAAATTGGAGGTGTAACTACTTAATTTACAGCAAAAGACTGGTGTCCAATTCATAGAAAAGAATAGATGTTATATAATATACCAAAACAAATGTTATTTTAGGAAGGAGCTCATTTTAAGACAACAGATGAGCTTTCCACTCTGTTTTTGAGAGGCTGGCTGGTAAAATAGTCACATTCAACAACACAAAATTTAGATTCTGTTTCTATTTCTTCTGAAAAATAAAACTGTAAAACATTTCAGATTGCTTTACTGCAAAAGAGTAGGGAGCAATGGTTGTCTGTCATTAAACTTAGAATTTTAAGGTTGGTAGTGCAAGATAAACAAAATGAATGAAGGCAATTGAAATAGCTGGTAATGAAGAGGATACTCTTGGTTATCAATCCATTTCTTTTACTCTGGATTAGAATTCGAGAAACAGAGAAAGTGTTGATGTGCGGGGTTTTTTTAATTATGTAATAGATCTGACCTAGATAGTCAGCTTTGACTTCTTCAGACTGATACATGGCAGATTTCACACAGCTCATGAGCACTGATTACTAGGTCATCAGAAGTGTTCTGGGGAAAAAAAATCTTTTTGATGTTTTTGTACACTTCAGTTTCACATTAAAGTTTATTTTATTTGAAACAGGATTTTGATTTAGGTGAAAGGGAGGGAGAGTGTTTATAAATTTCATACATTCTCCCTCTTTCTTCTTCCATTTTCTCTTTTGTTTTATTTAAAATTCTGTGTAACTTTCTTGGAGTCCTAAATAGAGATAAATGTTTAAAAGTTTTTTACAGTATTTGGTTTCAGCTGTTTTCTGACTGCTAGTTGGCCAAACTCAAGCCACTACAGACATTCTGTATATTATGTTCATCACAATCTGTTATATTTGAGATTTTCTTTCTTTGAAGATGACAAAAAAATCCCCACTTGTTAAAACTGTCTCAGCTTTTTATTCTTTAGAGGCCTTATTTTTTTTATTCTGTTAAGCTACTCATGCAGATATTGCTATAATATTAAGAGACAGTGATGTATACAGGAAGAATGTAGCAGTACAACTTGTTATGGACAAAGCATGGTAGAGGATTAAATACCTTAACTGTATTCTAGTTAGATGTGAGAAAGATGATGCAGTCCTTTAAGGATTGCAGAATGCAGTGCAGGTTCAACTATGGCAGCTAACTTTTTCTCTAGTAATTAATATTTCTGGTTTGGTTTTGTTTTTTATTGTGTATTTCAAAACAGAAACCTTCAAGTTTGGTTGTTTGTTGTTTTTGTTTTTTTTTAATCTTGAACTTGTTTGTCTTTCTCTGTTTTTCATTAGATGCTGGATCCATTGTCTTTGAGCAGTCCTGAAAACTCTGGCTCAGGAAGCTGTCCCTCACTTGACAGCCCTTTAGATGGGTAAAAATCACATTTGTTATTTATACTTATTAGATTGCATAATGTATCAGTTGTAACATATAATAATTCTCCAGTGACAGCTATTACTGAATTTATTCCAGAAATTCTTCTGTAAGTTATAGAACATTTATAAAATCTTACTGAAACTTACTCATAAACAGAAAATAGAAGTAGCTTGCTTTTTAAAAACTAATTTATATTTGAAACACAAAAACTTAGACTTCAGATCCTACAGAAATGTACTGGAGATTTTTACTAAATTTTGCCAGTCTTACATAGATGTGAAGTATATTCCATGGCAGTGAGCTGCCTCATCAAATGTACATTTTTCCGGTACTGCTATGTGATGTAAGCTTCCCTTTTTTCCAAGGTAGAGGGTACCCAGTTCAAGAAAGTGGGTAGAATCAATTAAAGAGTTCACCAGACAGTCCCTTCCTTTTCTTCACAATTACTGTCCGTCCCTCTCCCCATGGCAGACTTTCCACTTATTTTCCTTTGTTTAAACCTGTCAGTTAGCAAGAGGTGGTGTGTACTGTGGTGGATCTGGAGATTTGTTTTGATTGACCTGTTAGATTTATGTGTTTTGAGAGGGTCACTGTCAACAGTTTCTCAGCCACCAGGTAAGTCAAACAGAACATACTCCTGTTTGGCTTATGGTTGGTCAGGCAAATAACCTTGATCCTGATGCTGTGCAGATTGGCTAATCTTCTTATGTTGGGTCTTATGTTGCTCATATTGGCTACTCGTTTATTTGGAACTGCTATACAAATAATACTGCTAATTAAATACTTTATTTAATTGTTAGAAAGGTAGAAAGTTGGAAATCATTGCCTGTGGCAATTAATGAGAACTATAGTAGTCCATAGTACCACTTCATCTGAGAATATGTGATTTGGTCAAGGAAATAAATTTTCAGTTAAATAATGAGTCTCCATTTCACAAGCAATAAAACAATAGATGTGAAAAGTATTTTTTGGTTGGAATATGATAGGTTATACACATGCAGGATTTAATGTAGCTACATAGGATAGAAATTCAACCAAATTGCCAAATTTTTAGGTTTTTGTGGGGTAGGGATGAGTGGAAGAAGGGGAAACAAAACAGTCTTAATTCAACTTACAATGTTTCTTCTTCAAAACTTCTTTTGCTTGTTTTTTTTATTTACTTCATTTGTCACCTCTACTTAGTTTGTTTTCCTTTTTTTTTTTTTTTATTCAAATATTTCCTACAAAGATGTAGGTTTTGTGTCTCCATTTAGCTTCTGTTACCCATTAGAGAAATTCTTACCAGAAAAAGGAGGACGTTGTTTTGGTATGTTTATGGAAATATACTGTAATCAGTTGCTCTGGCAATCCCATCCATTCCTTTTGGTGGCTGGGAGTTACATACCAACTGTAGGTAAGAAACAATGTGATCATGTAAGAACCAAAAAATTCTTCATCGTTCTATAACTCAATAAAATTACTCTCTTAATCCTATGGCTTTCATGGAGAAAAGAGTAAATACTTTGAGATGTTAAGAGGTTCTGCGTTTCTTTGGTTAAATTTCCTCAAGAATTTTGGTAGGCTGTATAAGAGATTTTGCCAGTCTATGAACTTATGTTTAGCTATAAAGGTGTTAAAAATGACAATACTCCTTTGTGGCTTTATTTGTAATTCATGTTTTTACTAATATCATTGCTCATTAACACAGTCTGTTGCTTTCTTACTATGTTAAGCTCAATAAGCAAGCTTTTCCACTGTTACTGATCTTGAACTAGTATTGATACCTTTTAGATCTGATTTTCAAAATTGGTTCCACATCACAGGTGGAGGAACTTGTATAGCAATGAATTTTCATCAGTCATAAAGAACTGTGAGACAGTAAGATTAAACATTTAAGTACTAGATTAATAGCAGTTTTTAGATTATGTATATTTTTACACTTCCAGAGACAACTATCCCAGATCTCGGATGCCAAGAGCACAGAGCTATCCAGATAATCATCAGGAATTCTCAGGTAGGCAAAATCATTGGTGTTGTGATTTAACTCCAACCAGCAACCAAGCACCACGCAGCCACTTGCTCACTCTTCCCCTCTCCCAGTGGGATGGGAAGGAGAATCGGAGGTAAAAAATAAAAACTCATGGGTTGAGATAAGAATGGTTTAATAACCAAGATAAAAGAGAATAATAATAATAAAATAATTCTATTTTAATAATGATAGTAATGAAAAGGAATGTAGTAAAGAAGAGAAAGAGAAATAAAATACAAGAGAAGACAAGTGATGCACGATGCAATTGCTCACCACCCACTGACTGATGCCTGAGCAGAAATCCACTCCCCAGCCAATTCCTCCCCATTTCTATATTGAGCATGACATTCTATGGTATGGAATATCCCTTTGGCTACTTCAAGTCAGCTGTCCTGGCCATGCTCCTTCCCAGCTTCTTGTGTACCTGCTTGCTGGCAGAGCATGGGAAACTGAAAAATCCTTAATTTAGGGTAAGTGCTATCTAGCAACAACTACAACATCAGTGTGTTACCAACATTTTTCTTAACACTAAACCCAAACCACAGCACTGTACCAGCTTCTATGAAGAAAATTAACTCTCTCCCAGCTGAAACCAGGACAACTGGACATAACTAGCTTTCCAGAACTCTGGCTCTTGCAAATAACAAGGCTTAGAAGGGAAGCTCACATTGAGAGGTATTATATTACACAAACTTAATATGGTAGTAGAATACAAACCAACAAAATCCAATCCAAATGCACACAGTAAAAGATACAATGAAATATAAGATCTTCCAAATGTTTTCTTCTAGAGTATTATGTGTAACATCACTGTTTGTGTGTATGGTGTAACATATCTGCTTCTCTGAAAAAAACAAATGATGCAGTGGATAGGGGCGCACAACAGTTTGTTAAACTGAACTGTAATGTCCATCCCTAAACTGGCACATAACCTTGGTTAATTTATCTTGGGGTGTTATGGTTTAACCTCAATTGGCAGGTAAGCACCACACAGCCTCTCACTCCCCCACAGAGGGATGGGGGGAGAGAATCAGAAGGGTAAAAGTGAGAAAACTCATGAATTGTGATAAAGACAGTTTAATAGGTAAAGCAAAAGCTGCATGTGTAAGCAAAACAAAATGAGGAATTTACTCGCTAGTTCTGTCACCAGGCAGATGTTTAGCATTTCTAGGAAAGCAGGACTTCATCACACCTAACAGTTACCTGGGAAGACAAATGTCTTAACTCTGAACATCCCCTCTTCCTCCCTTCTCCCAGCTTTTACTGCTGAGCATTAATGGTATGGGATGTTCATCAGCTGTCCCAGCTGTGTCCCTTCCCAGCTTCTTGTGCATCCCCAGCCTACTAGTTGGTGGAGCAGTGTGAGGATCAAAAAAAGCCTTGATGCTGTGTAAACGCTGTTCAGCAATAACTAAAACATCCCTATGTTATCAACACTGTTTTGGTCACAAATCCAAAACAGCACCATAGGAGCTGTTACAAAGAAAATTAACTCTATCCCAGCCAAAATCAGTACGTGGAGCCTTCATTTTCTCCGATGTGAAATGAGAATCACTTTGAAGTGCTCATGACTTCTGTAATTGAAAGCACTGCAAAGTGAAAGGATGGAGAACTATGTGCTGCGCCCATAAATTAATGATCACTACTAATGTAGCTTTCATACAACGCTGGCTTGAATCCAAATTGTTGTGCTTGGTTCAGGATATGAAATGCAATGGGTAACACGAAATTGCTTTGAGGTGTGTCTCATGGACATGCCTTGCTAGAGCATTTTGCTGTTGAAGAGTAATTGAGCTTCCAGTGAATCTGGGGTGTTTTGCGTTTTTTTTTTGTCTATTATATACTTTAAGGCTTCTTTTTATTTTGTTTATGAAGCTTTATCCAAATAAGTCCATGATAGTGTGTTTTTTCTCTAAAAGATTCTAGAGTGTTTAATAGATTGCACCACTTTTAAATGAAAATAAAACTATGTATAAGAAGCATTTAGGTGGCAGTGATAAAATACCAAAAATGTTGGAAATGTCAGAAATCAGTTTGGTAATCTTCATCTATGTTACTTGCATTTCTTTAACACTTTTTTCTAATAAGATGATCTTGCTTTATTTTTTTCTGGTCTTGCCCTGTGGGGTACTCTGATATTTTAACAGTGGGATAGACAACAATCATTAATTCCATATTCAATATTTATGGTCATATTTTGATGTGTACAAAACCAGAATAGTATATAGAGTCAGCAAGAATGTCCAACTGACATAGTCTTTTCTCCTGCCACATCCAGTGCCAGGCTTCTCTAGAGGAGCATGTAGTATTCCTTCCTCAGAATATATTTCTGGTCATGTGTGGCTTAAGGGTTCTGCAGATGCAAGATGCTCTTCTGTGATTTGATGGATTTATTTTTTTTTTTTCCCTTCCACAAATTCTTCTCATCCCTATTTCAACTTGTATAAAGTTTTACAGTATAAATGCTCTATTGTGACAAGAAGTTGTGCAACTTGATGTTTTGGGAAGTGTGCCCTTTGTGATTTTTTTCCTCTCTCTCTTTTTTTTTTTTTTTTTTTTTTTTTTTTTAGTCTAGAGGCCTGCATTCTGTATGCAGAAGTGATTTTGTATCTTTGATCATCTTTGTACTTCTAAATCCTTTCCAGTTTTACTAAATCCTTGGAAATGGAGTAGACCAAAACTTTTTTCAGCATATCTTAATGATTTATAGCATTTAATTTGCTGCTTAGCCAATACAGAGTTCAGCTGCTGCTTTATTGGAACTCTTATCACAGTCCTTTATACTAGCCTACACTGAATTTCATCTGCTATTCCAACATCCAGTCACGTAGACTCTTAAGGGCTTTTGTAATTATTCTGTTGGCTTTATTTCTCCAAGTGATTTTGTCACCTCACTATTCATTGTTCTGTCCAGGGAATTAATGCATAATTAAACTGCATGAGTTGTAGCGCAGATTCCTGTGGAACTGTTTACCATTTACTCCCATCATATGTACTTATCTTCTAACCAATTATTTATGCATGAGGGACTTTTCCTTTTATCTTATGAATACTTTTCTCCTTTAATAATTTTCAAAAGAGGACCTATTGGATGTGTTCTAGTAATTCATGCTGTGTTGACTCATTCACCAATTTTTCATATTTATGCATCTTTAAATTTTATTCTTTGTAATAGTTTCTGACAATTTTCCTGGTGAACTGTAGTTTCCCAGAATTCCTCTAGAAACTATTTTTAGAACTTCAGTAATTAGGCATGCTGTAGTCCTCTGACACTCTTTTAAGCCAAGGGTTACAAACCACTTGAGCATTGAATTCGTGATCCTTTGGAACTTTTGGCAGAATGTCTTTTCAGTTCTTGTGGTTTGTTACATTTGTGGCTGTTGTTCTAGACTCCTTTATGCCCCGATGCTTCAATGTGAAGCATATCCTGGGATATGTTCCCCCATGTTTAAGTTTATAATAGCAAACTAATTAATTTAGTAGATGCTTGTCACATTTTAAATTTTGAAATGTGTGTTTTTATTTTTTAGTAGAGTATGATATCCCAATATTTGAGAAATTTGGAAAGGGGGGGACTTATCCCCGAAGATACCATATTTCATATCATCAACAAGACTACAATGATGGTAAGTGTGAATACTGCAAGACTTCTACGTTATTAATCTGTTTTTCTCTTGTTAAAAAGTGAAGAAGAAAATTTAGATTGTAGTATCTTAATGAACGAAAATATTGGAGAAGATGAAAGCTTAACTTCTTTCCCCAAACTCACTTGCTAAACTTCTAATGATTGATAGAGCTGCTAAGCAGACTTACCAGAATTCATGACTCATATGCACGGCTATGAAAATATTTTGTTATCTTTGGCCATGCATGCGTCATCCTGTGTAAGCTTTTGACCTTTGTTACCCTTTTCTATCCAAGGTGGGTATGTCAGTTAGTTCATCATTTTCTTGTTTTGCTTTAAAAAAACCCAAACACAGTGGAGTTCCTTATTAACAGTTTCCCATAAAAGAGTAAAAAAAACAGAAGAGCAGTGATTTAAACTGGGAATTAACAATTAGCTGGTGAAATCAATTGTTGGAATGCAAGACAGCACCTGCTGATGTGGTGACAAAACTGATTTGGACAGTAATAACATTGATGTAAATTTAACACGTTAAATTTCCCAAGGAAGGAAAGAGGAGCAGCTAAAGGATTGTCTAACGAGGGTGTGTTAAGCACTAGTTCAGAAGTGTTAAGAAGAAACTTTTCCAAAGACCAGATGGTTTCATTTGCAGTATGGAACGAGCACAGCAATAAATGGAATTCTGTTACAGAAATCACGGAAAAACCAAATTGAAGGTCTGCAAGGCAGCTTCGATACAGACCCTTGCTCTAAGGCAGGATTAAAGAGGCAAAGATCTGTCACACTGACTTTTAAGTAACCTGTAAATTGACTTTAAGAGAAGAGCTACTAATTTTCTTTATGTAATTAACTTAAAAGATAGCTTATCTTGTAACTTACCTTTCTCTGTCTTCTAAATCATTTTTCTGGCAAATGAAACTAGTAACTAGTTACTCCATTTTAACACAGTGAAAAATTGGTCACTGCCTTTATATAACACTACATCACACACACATCTCTTTTCTGTCCTTAGTTTTCTTCTTTCAAGCTTTAAGTCATACCTCAGACACTTACAGGCCTTTTTTTTTTTTTTTTTTTTTTTTTTTTTTTCTGGCCTCTTCTCCATTCTTGTAGTGGCCAAAACTCAATAGAGTACTCTAGCTGAAGCTTTTCTCATGGCTGCTTGATGTATAACATAGGATATAACCATAACTTGGTATGTAACAGTTATGTTAATATGTTTCAGAATGACACTTTTTTTCATAGTCATCATACTCACTGCTGTTCAGTCCGCAGCCTATTATAGTTCCTATATCCTTTTCTACACAACTATTAGTCAACCAATTACTTTACGCTTTGTGGTTTCTGCATTTTATATCTCTTTAAGTATGTATGTTGTATTTCCTTTTACTGGATTTCAGTTTGTTGATTTCTGAATCATCTCCAACTTACTAATATCATTGTGAATTTTGATTTTTATCTTTAAATGGAATTCCAGCCACATTTAACTTGATGTCATCTGCAATATTTCAGTGTATTATGTTCTATCATATATACATCATCACTTAAAATAGTATATGGAAGTGGACTGCAGGTAAGCTGCTCTGGGTGTCCACTTAAATTATCCTCCACTTTGAGAAATCACTGATAACTGCTCTGAATCTGTCTTGGGCATACTCTATGTAGTAAATGGGTCTATGCAACACTTCACTAGTTACCCTAAGAGAATGTCCTAATAAAATGGGGAAATTGGATAAGCTACATGTGACAAACCAGTTATGGCTAGTTTATAACCTCATTATCTTCTGTGGTTTATAAAACTGCTTAATAATTTGTTTGCATATCTTTCTTGGAATTTAAATTGGCCAGACTAGTATATAAACCTGAGTCCACTTTTTCAAAGTTTTTTTTCTCTGCCTTCTTCAGTCCCCTGGGTACAACACCTCTAGTGTAATACCTAATGAATCAGAGACTCCTTCAGCTATTTCTGAGTTCTGTAGAATGAAAATTCATCAAGCTATGCTGACCTAAAAATTTTCATCTTATCTAAATATATTAACATGAATCGTGTTAGTCATCTGGTTGTAATTAACCTTTTTGAAAATCAGTGCCCTTTTTTTCATTCTAATGCTGTAAGCATCTCTGAATTATGCATTGCTTGTGATTATTTTTTTTTTAAATTTAAAATATACTTTTTATGGTCTTCCTTTTGCTCCATGTGTAGGTATTTATCTGCATTTAGTTCTTATTAGTTTACAGGGTGAAGATGCCAGCCTGGGCACCACTGGAATGTAAACATATCTCTCACTGCCCTATTTATGAGAAATTTGGTATTTACACCTTAATAGAGCAATAAAAGTAGAGGCAGGGCATTTTCCTTTCTCCTCTCTCAACCCTCTAGGTTTCTGAAGCATGTTGATTACATCTCAGAACACTTCCAGAATTTGGTCCCAATTTTGGTCACTTTAAATATAAGCCAGTTTTTGATTCAGTCCAATCCTTACCTACATCTGTGATGAATGTTTGTTTTCTCCTAGGTGGAAAGTTAAACCAGTAAATTTCATGATCATTACATCCTATCATACACAGGGGAAGATTTGAATTGCATTATGTGGAATTCATAAAGTATTGCATATGCACATTGCATAGCAGTATTTTTTGTAGTGTAAACTTCATATTCTTTGCCTGTCGTTGAAGGTCGTAAAACTTTTCCGAGAGCCAGAAGGACTCAGGGGAACAGCTTCCGATCACCAGTTAGTTTCAGTCCCACTGATCACTCACTGAGCACCAGTAGTGGAAGCAGTGTCTTTACACCAGAATATGAAGATAACCGAATGAGGAGGAGGGGAAGTGACATAGACAATCCTACCTTGTCAGTCATGGACATCAGCCCACCCAGTCGCTGTAAGTTAAGGCATTTTTTTGAACTCCACTGTAAAACTCTCTTAACTTTCAAGTATATCATAAAACTGTCATCAAAATACATGCAACTGAGTAATATATTTTTATGTCTCTAATAGGAAAAAGGCAAGACTGTGCTCATTTTTTTCACTGTTTACTATGCCAACCTTCATGTGCATTTTCACATGGAATTTGATCTGTGATAACAAAACACTATAAAAATATTTTTGATTTGTTAAGGCTCTTGAGGACCAAGAGTTATGAAGGTTGCAGTTACTATTTGTTTTTGCAGATGTTGGTCAAATTTTTTGATAAATTATAGACTTTAACTGGTACTGTTTTATATCTGTGCTGGCCTTTCAGGGGCATATATACTTTATGATGACTTCAGCAGTGGGTACATTTTAATCATGCTTCATTTTAAAAAAAAAAAAATGTTACTAAGTTTGACATGCTTTTTCTGTTTTTCAGATTAGCTTTTGCTAGTTGTTTTATGTCTATCTACCACAAATTATTTTGTGACTAAATACAAGTAGCTCATGTTTTTCATCTTACAGGAAACATTATTGCTTTGTAACTTATGTGGGGAGGTTTAGGACACACTGTGTCTGTTGTTGAAAAATGTAGTCGTTTAAAAAACTATTTTCTATGTATTCCAGTTTTTCTCGATCAGCTGAATAACAAGCTCATTTGAAAACCAAAACATACTTATATTTTCAGCACCACGAGCTCCAACTAACTGGAGACTTGGTAAACTGCTGGGTCAAGGTGCATTTGGCAGAGTATATCTGTGTTACGATGCTGATACTGGAAGAGAACTGGCTGTTAAACAAGTTCAGTTTGATCCTGATAGTCCAGAAACCAGCAAGGTAAGTGATACCAAAGAGACAGTTTGTAAAGGGCTTCTGCTGAAGTGATGTGTTTTAGACTACACTGACATTCCTTTCCTTGAGCCGGATGATGTTTTAAAACATGTTGTGTTCTCATGCCCTTCTTAGGAATTCTGTTTTGTTAGTACCTCAGAGAGTGTTTACTTACCTAATTTTAGTGTTACATCCCATTTTTTTAATTTTCAGACATATCCTTATGCAGTGAGCATACATAACTTAATTTGGTGTAGTCTCAGACTCTAAAATTAAACAATCCATTAAGAAGTGTGCTCTGAAATAGATAATTATTTATGCTTACAGGAATTAGAGCAAGTTCCATTTATAAACAGAAAAATCTGTAGTAATATAAGTGTTCCTGAAAATTAATTCTTGAGGATACTTTGTTTGGCTATGGAAAACAGCTTGAGATTCTTATCTTTTTTTATCTTTAAGAGGCATTTGCTTTTGGTTTTTCATTTTTAAAACTTTGGATATGAGGGCTAGCTACTGTTACTGTATTTCTCTCTGAAGAGCAAAAGTTTCATTGTCAGTTTATTGTCTCTCTAAAATTGTTCTCCTTGAAGTACTGGACACTTGAGGAGAGGAACTATTTAAAAGTAGCACCAATCTTCTATTTTTTTTTTTTTTTCCAAAACCATACTTGCTGCTTTTTACAGGATGGAAAAAGAATATTAGGACTGCGTTCTACACTGTGGGGAGCAAGGCCGGGGAAACAATGGGTGTAAGCATGATTGCAGAATTGAGTGGCTACCAGTTGTAGTTGCTGCTACTAGTGATGTAGGATCAAGGAAAAAAGCCAAGAATCATTTGTGCTGTAGATTTCTAGTGTAGTTGTTGCTATTTCTTTAGAATGTAACAGAACAACTGATTATGCTTTGGAAATGTTAAATATAAAATACTCTCTGCTGTAAATATAAAATTAGTCTCTCTTGTAGCAAGTTTTGTGACCTCACTTGCCATAGCATTTTGTTATGTGTGCCTCTTGATGTGAAAAAAAAAAAAAATCTGTTTTCCTTCTAACCTCAGAAGTACAAGGGTAGCAGTAATAGTCTGTGGTGGATAAAAAGTAAGTTTTGATGAAAGACTTTTAGGTGAAATTTGGAATCCAGTCAAGTTTGACTTTGTGTGTTAGTATTTTTCTAGCATCTTACTGTACAGTCTATTTCAACATATCTTCCTGTTTGCAAAATTTTTAGTATTTCAGATAGCTATATAGAAAGCACCATGTGTGTTAATGTTTTCTTTGTTGTATTTCATTATTACAATAATAAGTGGTCCTCAAGGGCATTTTTCAAGTATAGTCTGTCATCCAGAAAAGTTAAGAATTAATGCTAATTATTCCACTAGAAAGATTTATTTCTTTTTTTCTCCAATTGGAGGGAGGTGATATGCTGCATAATGATCACTGACTTCATACACAGTGATCTCTGCTGTGCTCTGAAACAAACATAACTTCAAAATGAGAGAAACAATAAAATAACAGCAAAATGGTCCCAAAGTCAATTTATAGAAAAACCATAGGGTTTTTTTACTTCCCTCAATCTAATGGTGATATTTTCTTGTTATAAAATATGTAAACTTTACAGAAGCTACAAGAGTATTTTGTTACTTAGTTTGCATAACCCTTTAACCTTTAAAAAAGCTTTAAAAAGATTTTTAAGCTTTAAAAAAATCCAAATCCGAAACATTATTATTACTACATCAAGCATGGTAAATCTTGCCTGTTTTTTCCTTTAGGAAGTAAATGCACTTGAATGTGAGATTCAGTTGCTGAAAAACCTGCTGCATGAAAGAATTGTTCAGTATTATGGCTTCTTGAGAGATCCACCAGAAAGAACACTCTCTATATTCATGGAATATATGCCTGGGGTAAGCAAGAAGGCCAGTTCACTTCAGCCATCATTTCTGCACAATGTGTGAGAAGCACTCACATAGACAGGTTCTGCAGAAGTGCACACAGATATCAAGGAGAAGTGTCCAAGTTAAAAACAATATCCAAAGACGGGTACTGACAAGTGATTACAGCAGTCTATCTTCTCCGTTATTTGTTTGGGTTTTCAGAATTCCACAGTGGTTTGTAGAAAAATTATTTGCATTTGATTTTGGCATAAGAAGTGCCTGGCAATGACCTTGAAAAGACAATATTATCATTAGTAAAGTCTTGAATCTTCCTGAATTTCAGTGTTTTTTTTACTGCGCTTCAGCTTGTGCTGTTTTCTAGTCACAATCTCAAGTGCTCAATTATTTCAAGAAAACAAAAAGTAGATTGGAGCTTGTTTTTTGTGTGGCACCTAGGTATATGCCAAACTTTTCTTCTACTGTTTTGTTAATAGATATTATAAGGTCAAAAAACTGTAGATTTTCATTTTCTCACCAAGTGGGGTCAGCAAAGCTAAATAAAATATGCTTGTATAAAAACATAGGCTTTGTATTTCTGAATAGTTATAGCATTCTACTTTACTGAGCAGTGTGTGAGGGTGTTTGTGGTGGTGGTGGGTTTTTTGTTTGTTTTTCTAGATGATTTCTGGATCTTTTTTTTGTGGAGCTTCTTGAATTTTTCTGATATTTAGAGGATAGTATCACAGAAGTAACCTTAGCAGTTTGTGTGACAAAGGTTACAAAAAATGGTTACAAATTCTTGGTTTAATGTTATTTTAAGTCAAGACTTGCTTACCTCTTAATTATTACATAAAGCACCATTCTCCAGCATGTGGTGGTTTTTTCTCGACTACCTTTTTTCTTCCCAAGTATAAACTAACTAGGTTGAAAGGTATGTGTTTTATCATCATTTACCCATCACAAAAGCTGACAGTGAGAATGAAAGTACTGCTGCTCTCTTTTTGTGTACATCACACTGCAACTAGTCAGCTGCTCATCAGACTCAAAGTTATTAGCTTAACCTTCCAGTATCTGATTTCTCCATCCAGCCTCTTTCTTGTCAAAGTTTGTATTTTTCTCAGTGGAGGTAAAACTGTATCTGTGCTTTTAAGTTGATCTAGAGGAGTATTGCAACTTTAAATGTGTACATTTCTGGCATAAATTTCATTGAAGTTCAACTGTAGCATTAGCCTGCTTGTGATTGTAGAAGTGTTAGTGTATTATACTTCTTGTTTGCCATAGGGTTCCATCAAAGACCAACTAAAATCATATGGAGCACTCACAGAGAATGTGACTCGTAAATATACGCGGCAGATTTTGGAAGGAGTTCACTATTTGCACAGTAATATGATTGTCCATCGAGATATTAAAGGTAATGATAGTTCTGTGCATGGTTTAGTGCTCTTTACTACAGATTATTTTCCAGTCTTTTGTGAAGCACTAAATGTAAGATTAAAATGCAAAAATGCTGACTTAAAATCAATGAGGTTTCTTTCCATCATTTATTCCTGTCACTGTTGTAACTTGAGGGGGAAAAAAATAAGCATCTCTGATGTTCTAGAAGACTTTCAACAATGTTTCCATAGTCTCTGTCTGGAAAAAAAAAAAAAAAAAAGATAAATTTATCTCATTTTTATTTTAGTATTAATAGTTCTGAATATATGAAAGGATGATGTCATTACGAATAGAATGTACAGAGGAAAGCATCATGACTCGAAAGGTTATTTTTACAGAGTTTTATTTCATCAGTTATATAGAGACTACCCAGGACTTCACTGGTACAAAAAATGACTGACAGAGGTGACTTGCCTGATCAAGTGACTCTGACTTCTTCCATTTTACTGCCAGGAAACCTGTGGAAACAGGCATGGTAACTTTTTTGCAGATAGATACTGGTGGCTTGCAAGTGCTGCATAAGCAAGTTACGAATATGTAGGAAGGTGGTGATGTGCAAAATAGATGTATTGAACGCAATACTGTTGTATTCCCTAAAACGTTTACAATTTTCCTGTTGCTTTGTATCAATAGCGTGTTGTTCCAAAAAAGGTTGAGCTATCACAGTCAATTTGTACATGCTGATGCAGATAAGTGTTTTGAACAATCTCTAACACAGTTTGAGATTTTGATTTTTAAGTCTCTTTTTTGCTTTTGGTCTTCAAAGACTTTTTCAGTTGTTTGAAAACTTCTTTCCTGTTTCATTTTAGTCCTCTTGTACAGCGCATTCCTTATTTTCTCAGGGAGGCTCTACAAAGTGAATGGCACTTCCTGGAAAAGACCTAGGATGCAAACCTGTTTGTACAATTCATTATTTTCTAAGCCTCAGAATAGAACAGTAGGCATGAGCAGAGAGAGTAAATTCTCTGGCTTGAAATACTGGGCTGATCTCGCATTGTATCACTGAATCCAAACAGAATTCTGTTACCATTTTCCACCCCAAAATGTTAACGGGCCTTTCATGAATGCAACACTGTGTTCCTTTCCTTCCAGGAGCAAATATTTTGCGAGATTCAGCAGGCAACGTGAAGCTCGGTGACTTTGGTGCCAGCAAACGACTGCAGACTATCTGTCTCTCTGGTACAGGAATGAAGTCTGTCACAGGAACTCCATACTGGATGAGTCCAGAAGTTATTAGTGGAGAAGGGTATGGCAGAAAAGCAGACATCTGGTATGTTAAAAAAATCTTCATTTCAGAATGGGCTCTGTTTCAACAGAGAGTGTAGGTGTTCGTTATCTGAAGTTGGAGTGTTTCATTCTGGGGCTTATGATGAAGAAGGTGGCCCGTGTGAGCACTGGCAGTTGTATTTGGACTGAAACATGGGAATTTTTCATTTGGCCGTTCCACAGCCCATTGATTTAGGGATCTTAAGGGAATCCTTTGAACCAAACTTGTGTGAAGTTAAGATTGCCAGACTCTTTGTAAATCCTGGAGAGGTACTGGGTGAAAGCAACATGTAAAGCTTTGAAGCATCAGTTAAGTCAATGTCCTGAAATGAAATTTTATCACTGAAATACCTTTGATGCAAGGCAGAAAATAAAATGCTGTCATTTAAAGATGAGCACATAAGAATTAATTAAACAGATTTAAATGGGAATTATCAAAAAATAATTTGGTTTATTTAATATTTGAGAATTAAGGGGGAAAGGTAATTTTCAAAAATGAATGTTTGTGATACATTGTGTAATATGATATAGCCTAACATTGCTGCAGCCCAGTGAACAGATGGTTTTAGCAGTTAGACTCCTTGCACTGCAGGTGATATCTGAACACACAAAATAATGGTTAGGCAACAGTAGATGTGCAGGAGTAGTAACACTTTGTGTATTTAAAAAGGAACTATATTATATCCAACCAATGACCATGCTTTTAATGTCAGAGAAATTAATTTAGCCTACTTCAGATCACTTAGTAATTATTCTGCTATACTGGAATAATGGAACAACCTTACAGATTTCAGGTAGTTAACTTGTTCAGTTTTTAAGTATGTATACCAAAGATAACAAATGTTTTTTTTATGGAGAAAATTCTGGTTAAAACTAAGAAAAAGTACTGAAGCTGGACTTGTGTCATTCATTATTGTGTAAAGAAACGCACCTCTATAACCATAAAACTTCTTGCAGGCATCTTGAGAAAACATAAAACTTCTTGAAAATTAGAAAATTATTTCAGCCTGTCCATTTTGCAGTATCATTCACCTGTTATTGGAAGAAGGCTGATCTTGCAGGACATAGGGAACAAAGTTTTTGTAGCCATATGCCTACCCTCTGCCCTCCTAAATCATTCAAACTTAAGCTTTGTATACGAAGATTGTTTAGGATCTTAAAATTTTGTTTAACAATCTAAGTATATTTTTAATGTCCTTAACTAAAAGAGGAAGATACCACTGCAGAACTTTTTAACTTCCATGTCGTGTTTGTGCATTATTCATTGGTGGTAACTTGTGCATTTCTGATGAGCCAGCAAAATACACAGTATAGACTGACTTAAAGCATTTCTCTTGCTTTGCATTTCTGTTAGGCCTTAATGAACGAGAAAGTTTTTGCGTGCATTCAATCCTGCAGATATCTGAAGAGCTTGGGGACAAGGGTTGTTCAGTGCTTGTGGCCTGTATCAGCCTGCTGAACACTGAACAGCAGCAGTGACATAATGCAGCTGGTATAGCCTAGAGAAATACCTAATTGTTTCTTCACTGAGGTAGTCAGTTTTGGCCCAGTGAAGTAATAAAGTGAAGGTGTAGATAGTGATTTATGTAACTTTGAGATAAAGTGTATAGCTGTACATGCAATTTTTGTGCTGTCGAAGTTGCTCTCTAGTTTAGACGCTATTTATTTGTGGTATTTTAGTAGCTCTCTGCTATTTCTTGTTTTCCTGGAAGGGCATGACTGTTGTAACCTGCTGTTTCACTTCTGCCTCTGTTTCAGGAGCGTAGGTTGTACAGTGGTAGAAATGCTCACGGAGAAGCCCCCGTGGGCAGAGTTCGAAGCAATGGCTGCCATCTTTAAAATTGCCACTCAGCCAACCAACCCCCAGCTACCACCTCATGTCTCCGACCATGCTCGGGATTTCTTGAAACGGATTTTTATCGAGGCCAAGCTGCGACCATTTGCAGATGAACTGCTAAGACACACGTTTGCACACTATCACTAACAGCCTGCCTCAACTCAGCTTGCATCTACTGCATTTATTTTCTATTTGACTGCACTTTTATTTTTATTTTTTAAAAAAAAAGGAGAAAAAGACAAGAGAGAGAATATTCTCTTGAATCTTTGTTTCACTTAGATTGTAAACAATCTAAATTTTGTATCTAAAATGAGAATCTTCTCTCCCCCACTCCCACCAGGACTAGAACTTTTTGTTTCTATAATGTACTGATGTGGTTCCTGTAGATAAAGCACTTTAGTACATATTTGTTCCTTATTTAACGTGGAAAAAAAAAAAAAAGACAAATGCTTGGACAGTCAGGAACTGTGTGACTTTTTCTGACACCGCTGACTGACTCAGGGTGCAAGGAAAAACAGACATGCAGCTAAAGGACAAGAAGGTTACTTCTCTGTGATTCTTTATATTGTAGGTACTTGTGGCAGAGAGTTCTAAGTTCTTACTATATTTTAGCATTTTAATCAGTTTCTGGATTTTACGGTTTAAGCTGGAACACACAATCCTGAGCGTTAATGATAAAGCTGGAAGAACTTGGAACTCTTTGTACAGCAGCGTGTCTAACCGGTACTTCTATGTGACCAAAAGAAAACAACAAAAAAAGAACTCAACACTGATGTACTAGTTAGAGATTTTGGTGTAGAGCTATTGTATTATCTTAATAGGAAAACAATTACAGGTAAACAGATTATGGACCCACACTCCTAGGAATACTCTACTGCGAGGGGAAAATTTCTGTAATAGACAAGGGTCAGCTGTTGGATGTAAATAGTTAGGAGAATGCCTCCTGCTGTATCTGCCAAAGAGAACCTCTGTTGCTTAAGCTTGGAGGGAGATGGTTATCTTAGATTAAAAAAAAATAGTGATGTTGAGAGTCAATTCTCCTCCACAATCCCATGAATGGTTGGGGGGGGAGAAGGCAAGTGACTAATCCTTGTGCAGTATATGAGTTACTTAATTCAGAATGAGCTATAAGAAATAGTGTTTTCAAAGCTGTCCAGAGGCGCTAGGATGGAATGTATGTCAACATCAAGTGCCTGAATAACATAAAATACTTCCCATTATGCATTAAAAAAATCTGTTTTAGTAACACAATTCTGTCATCTAGGATGTGTTGAAAATTCTCAAAATAAAGTTAAACATCTTTTAACACCAGGAATAAGTCACTGAGAAGGATAAAACTCCAGTTACATTTTTAATAAGGTAGCAATGATAAATCCACATGAAGGAGGCGGCACAGGACAAAAGATTGTATGAGGTATAGGCCAAAAGTGCAGAGACCCAGCAATTAAATAACATGAGAATGATGACTCCAGCCTGATAATTCAGAAGATTGGTGTTTGTCAGATTTCCAACTGTTATAAAATGTACATTAATCACTTTTTCTATTTCTGAAAGAGTATAATAAAAATGCAAAAGTAAAACTCTGAAATACTGCTTCTCAACTGAGAAGTCCAGGTACTGATCAGGTGTAGTGAATAACTGACTCCTCATAACAGAGAAGTCAAACTCTCATATTTTTGTAGAACACAACATAAATTATTTAAAAGGACATTTGGAAATAAACTATTGGACTACAGAACTGAAATAACGTATACTGTTTTGGATAATTCATTGCTTGCTTTTGTTGTTTTGTAAAGTCAGAGCGGGCTGGTACTGTGAACCTTGTCCACTCTAACAAGGCTCTACCTCTTTTGCATCTTTAGAGGACTGTCAGAATTATGAAGTGCATGGAGATAGGCCAATCAGCTTACCCATTCCTACATGAGATTTCCGAATTTATTATGCTTTCAAATTTTATACCAGAGCATAAGTAGGAGTATGGATCTATCTTAACCACTTTACCTGTAGTGAAGTAAAAATTATTTTTATTTTGTTTTGGTTTGTTTTTTAGCAGTCTCTCCTGAGACAGAGTAGTGGCTTCTTTTTTTTTTTGTGAGGATTTTACCCAGCTTATAATTTTCTTAGTCAGGGTATGCAACTGTAGACAGTTTTCTGAGCATGGGAAGAACTAGTCAGACAAGGGACCGTTAGAAGGCTGAAAGGAAAGTCAACTTGTTTCTCTGTCACTAGATAAAAGCTATGAAAGCAGCCTTTAAGAAGAATTGGTGTGTACTCTGCTGTAAAAGACCTTTGCTTTATAAGCAAAATTTAGTGACAGCAGGGATGGGAAGTTTAATGTAGAGCCTAATATTTTATGTAGGTAATTTAAAGATCATATAATTGAAATGATTGATTTCAAACAGATTAAGAAGGTACTAAAACCAAGGTGATAATGTATATAAAAATCAGTAGTGGACAGTGATGTATGAAAAGGTAAGGAAATTTTATATTACCAAAAAAGGACATTAAAGGGAAAATGTAACCAGGTTTATCTGTAGCGTTTGTGACATTTAAATATACTGTCCTAAAAAGAAACAGCACTCTCTGAAGCTTGAAAATTTTCAGAATCTAGTTTTCTTAATGTGTCCTTTTTGTGAGACAGTGCTGGCTCATGTATATTGCAATATCACTTCCTCATTGTGATTTTTAATTACTGAATAATTTTCTGCTTTTATGCCTTTTCTAAAAATTGCATTCAGTCATGACAACAGTAAGCATTTTGGAGCCAGGAAAAAAAAAAGAATTTGCAGAATGCTTTTTCCTTAATTTCCTTGACATACTAGAAGGCTGCCAGCATAAGGATGGTGCTTCTTAAATGAAGAGGACATTTTCAAGTGGTTTTAGTAAAATTTTATGAATTTAACCCAGATTGGTCTTGAGCTGTTTTTGGGGTTTTTTTAACCCTATGGAGAATTTGTCTACTGACTTAAGCAACTTACAGTAAATTACATAATTATTAATGTAAATTTTTGAGCTAGAAATAATTCTGAATCTAAATCAGACTTTTACCAAAAGGTTAGCTAATATTTATCCCCTACTGGGGTAGTGTAGTAAAAGAAGCTGCATTATATGACGTAGTAGGTCTGTATACAATGTCTGTAAAACACGTTGATTACTAGCGTGATGCTGAACAAACCCTAGTTCTAGAATTTGAGAGGGTGCATGGAATTGCATGCTTAAAACTCCATTGGAGGAGGGTGACAGAGCTAAGATCCTTGCTCACAACTTTTAATATTTTACGAACAAAGATACCAGCATTTCAGAATCATAAATTACTCTTAACTGGTCAATCCAATTACTAGAAAATGTCAATAGAAACAATACTGTTTTGGTTTTCTCTAAATGCCACGATGAAGCTGTGAAGGGTCGAAGTTCACAGTGAGTGTGTATTTTCAAAGGACTTACTAATGAATTTTATTATTCTGTTTGTTGCACGTATTAACTAACAAAAGTCAAGCTACTTCTGTAGTTTGAATGGTGTAACTAACAGTCCTGCTAGAGTGCAACTGAAAGTTTCAGTTGTTAGATCACATTGTTTATTTTTAATTTGGGCGATAGAAATATCCATGCAAGAATTAAAAAAAGGTATGGATATAATAACTGCAAAGTTTAAATATAGTCTTAAAATTTTCATTTTATTTGCAATTTGATTTGTAGCTAAACCGCCCTTTCAGTATAAAAAAAATCAGAGGTTGTTTTTTTTAGCTAGTGCCTTTTATCTGTATGCCTTAATTTTGTTCATCATTGAACACCATATTGAAATATGTCATACAGTTCCATGTCACCAGAAGAGTCTTAGAGTGTGGGTTTTTTCATAGTGCCCAAACCAGAATTCACCTAACTGCACTGAAAAGTGTACGTTGGTCATAAACTGCTGCAGACATATAAAAAGTGGGTTTTAGAGCACTTCCAGAAGGCTTCCTGTGCTAATAAGGTTTTGTATTTGCATTTTGGAGGTCACACACTGATGTGCGTACCAGGAAAAGGACTTTTCTGCCCTCACAGAAATACTGTTAGAGTTGAGATTTAGCTTCCTAGCTCTGAGTACTAGACTCTGGGTTTACTGTAGAGACCGCAGCAGAGTTCTTAATGGACTTGAAATTGTAGTTGGTACATACGTAAATGTGGTACTGTATTAAAAGCTTTTTAATTCCAGTACACAGGAATATGATGTGTCTAAGCAAATCAATAGATTTCTCAGTGAATCATGCCCATTAAATTCTTTCCTGTGCCTTTTGGATAATCCTAATCCTGCCGTTGTCTTGACTGAAAGCCTTGTAGCACCTGTAGGTACAGCACAGTACAGCAAGCCATTCTTTTGGAAAACACAGAACAATGTCTAACTGTGGCTTCAGAGACTTGAGCAAATTGGTCAGATCTACTGTTATTTATAACCAATTTCTTACTTTTTTAATCTTGAAAGTCTTTGTCACGCATATAGAAAAGCATTATTTGTGTGCTTGAATGTAAGTCCCTATGGTGTTTCTGGAAAAGCAAAAGTATTACCAACCAGTATTGTTTTTTCTTACTGGTAACTTGCTGTCTTGCATTAATGACAAGTCTGCAGTGTAAAATCACATACACTTACCAAAGCTTTTCTATCCCCATATACATATAGCCAAAAGTGATATTTCATGGATTAGTACTGTTATTTATAGATATCTATATCTCCATCAGTAAGCTATTGCTAACTGAGTAAAGCAGGTACTAGTAAAATGTGGTAGACACTGCCCATATTTAAGAGATTTGGGTATTTATATATTTGCTGTTCTGATGTGCAAAATTCATGCCATCATTAAAATGAAGAGTTTGCTTTTCAAAACTCTTAACAATCTTACTGTTGTCATTCTAAAATGAATGCATAGGCTCGGTGACTAAACCTGGTGACCTTTATAGCCGGGTTTGAGCTTTGGGACATTTAAGGAATGCCATGAAGATAAGCAGATTTATGATCTGAACTGCTCTGTGCACCATAGTGAGAACACTTCAAAGCTGAGTCCGCTTGATGTGGCAGCCAAATGTCACCCACAGTTACGGGGGTGTTGATGCTGCCTTCAGGAGGAGCCACAAACACACACCAAAGGGAGCTGTCAGAATTCCTACCAACCCGGGATTTCTGCATCAAAATCCTTGATGAGAAACAAAGGAGCTCCTTCCTCTTTTTATTTACCCCTCTTGGCCTGCACGGTTTGTTGTTCTTTCTAGCTGGCGTAACTTAAATACTGCATAGGTGGTGGCCACTGATAGCTCCTGAATAAGGTGCAAGTTCATGTACAGCTTTATACCCTGTCACTTGAACCCGGGACGCTGCAGCTACCCACTTGCTGGAGCAACCCTTGGGTTTTCTCTAGCAATACATACATATACATATTTGAGGGTTAGAAGAGATGGAAGAGATGAGGTTTTTTACGTTTCAAAGCACTGATGCTAGCAGTCACGCTTTGGCAAAGTCTTAGTTTTCATAAATTTATGTTAAAAGAGGAACTGGATTAAAGCACATTAAAATTGTATCTCATGGTTCAGCCCTTACATTGAGTCCACTGATGAGGATTGGAAGTCAGGGTCTGTTGTGGAGAGATAAGGAAAAGGATACTCAAACTCCAGAGTGGATATTCATGGGAAATATTTCAGACGTTTGTCATGTCTTTTACCCCAAAACTTGATGATCCTTTTCCCCAGAGGTTATATAACGTGGATTTAAAAACAAGGATTGTATTTTCTTTACTGAACAGGAGTTAGATTGTCAGAGCCCTAGTATTTCTTGTTAATACCAGTAAAAAAAAGGGTGTCATCCTAAAATTGGAGCGGTTTATTAAAGCATAGTGTCTGTCATCTCAGACCTCGCAGGAGTCGTATAACGGAGTATCACTGTAAATACATGGAGGAGACTTAGATGAATCGGAATGTAGGCTTTTAGTTTTCATGAAGCTATGAATAAAAATTTGTAAATTTACTCAATCTAATGTACATTTTTATGTAGCCATTAAATTCTCTATTTAATCTATCAGTTTCTCACTGTAAATGTTTTTACTCTCAGTTGAATGCTGGGCACAGTTTGTAATGTATGTACACAAAGGTGTTTTTTTCTATCAACGTTGACTTTTTTGCACATTTTTGGAAATATTTAATTTGTACACTGATTTAATACTCTGACCAATTGTTGATGGGTGTATGAGAATCACGTGTGTGTGCAATGTACTACTGTCTGGATGTATGGGGTTTTTTATTACTTTTGAGATGTTGCTACCAGTAACTGCACTGCTGTTGCTGCTTTACATGGAATATCTTGTGTATAAAACAAAAAAAAAGATAAAAACAATTAAAAAATTAGCCTATGGTTATCTTGGTTGAGGAACTCAGGAGTTGAGCATTGCTTACTAGTTCCGTTTGTCTAACAACCTTCCAAACTTAAACAACCCCCTTGTAATTCTGTGTATGCATTGAATGTGTGTGTGTATATATATATCTCCCAGTAATCTTATTCCACAATTTCATTTCTACATTTTTATGAACTTGTTTTTTAAGGGTACTATGTTTAGTTAGAATAATTAAAATATATAAAAGCTTTGAGAGATGATTTACTAGATAAATATATTTTCAGCTGGCTGATGTTCAAAATATTTTTTTAATTTTCGTTTTTAACCATTCGAAATGTATTTGTATTTCCAAAATCAGACACGAATTGTACTTAGAAATATATTAAAACACTCTGTAGGGACAACAGTGTGATTTCTCTTTTAAGAATTTTGTACTTTAGGACAATGCGGAGCTTCCCGTTGGCGCTTCCCCCAATTTAAAAGCCTGTGGGTTTTAATTGCTGTTCCTTTGAGAAGCCGCCCCGGCCCGCCC